CTTTGTTTCACATGCACACACTCCAACAACAAGTGTGTATGCAAACGAAACGCAGCCACGTAGTTGGTTTGAGAGAAGCGAAAAATAGAAAGAAACAAGAACCGCCCAAAAGAAAACACTTTTCGTGTCAATTCACGCTCTTAATTCGCCACATTTTGTGAAAGACCTAATGAAATGAATGTCATATTTTTTTGTCGTTTGGTAGACGATGTCTCATGAAAACCGCGGCGCGCCAACATAATTTGTTATTTTTTTCCATATCTAACTCATTCCACTGTCACTAATCATTTTCAAACTGATAACCTTTCCGTTGTTCTCTTGTTCTAGAACCTCTTGCCGTTGATTGAAAGCGCAACGGTTTTTTTTTCTTCTGTTCGTCGTCTATCATAAGGCGCACAAATTGACTAAATAACTTACTCAATATTTATAAAAATATATTTTATTGCTTAACTCGCGGCCCGTGTTCCAGAATCATTGTGTTGCAGCGCAATGTTCACTGAGGATGCATGTGTAGGTGTGTGGAAAGAGGGTCTAGTCATGAGGATGAATAGCCAAAAAGTTATCTGCGACCGCATGAAATATGGTTTTTCTCTTTGCGAACATGGAAATCATTTGACGAAAATTCTGAAAATGAGGTCACAGTCAACAACGATAATTCAGCTTGATTTACGGCTTTTGCTTGAGAACATAATTTACTTTGCCGTGTTTTATGCCGCTGACACAGCCATCGCAGCTTAATGGCTGAATTTCAACCGAATCGTTTTACAAGAGACAACGGTGACTGTGTCGACGATGAAGAAGAGCACACACAGACACACACACACAGTTTAAACAACTCATATGCAAAAACAGTGTAAACAATTTAATTAATGAAGAAATTATATGTGAATTAAATTATCATAAAATTGACACTTTGACGCTTTTAACGGTGATAATCTTGTCGACCTGTTATTATCAATTATTCAAATAATACCGATATGTGAACAAAGGGCAACAGACGCGTGTTTTTACCATTGACATATGCTTATTACTTCCTCTTATGAACCCTAGACGACGGGCCCCATCCACATTCATCATCAAATTTCGGACTGAGACAAATATGTAAGCCTTTTATCTCGATAATGAATAGACATGGATCAAAAATGAAAATATTTACCATTTAATTAAAGGGCCATCACATTTCGTTTGTTGAATTTGCATACGTATTTTTGGGGCAACAGACAAAATATTATTCAGTTAGCAATTTTTTAGTAGGCATTCGAATACTGTAACACAAACACACGTACATATGTGTACATATCATGGAATATATCGACACACACTCACGGGCATTCTCCATTTTTTCTCTCTCTTTATCTACGTACGTCTCTTTTTTTTCGTTCTTAAAGTGAACCATTTTTATGCTGTTTAAACAGGGATCGGATCGTTTTAGTTGAGTTCAGTTGAGCGCAACCAACAGACACGCGCAACCAACAACAATTCAAACGGCGATAATAATAAAATCAAACAAAGCTTGTTTGCATTATCTATTTGGATGGTTTGGATTATCGTATTCTCTTCGATTGTGTGGCATGCTCATTTTCTTTATTTTCTCTCTCTTTTTTCTCTCTTGTTCATACACACACACACACACACACACACAATACTTTCAACTATACCGCCAAGTGTGCGATCTTTCTTTCTCTCTCTCCCTCTCTGTGTGCATATCGTAATTTGTTTTAACGTTGTACGCAGATTCTTTTGATATGAAAATATTATTGAAATCGGATAACTAAATATTTTTTCAGAGGAAAAAACGAATGAAGAGCACGCGAAACCAAAAAAACCAACGGCGTGATATTGAACCCAGGTTTCCGTTCGAAAAAAAGATATAAGAACGTTATTGGTTATATGCAACGGAAAACTACAAAGCGAGACAGAAAGACAGAGAGAGCGAGATGGAGACGGAGAAAAGATTGCGTTTGCAATTGTTGCGACGACATAAATGGTGTTTTATATACTCGAAATGAAAAATTACCACAAATTTACAAACCGAGTGGCATTCATGATTTGGTGCAGTGAATGAGGTGCGAAAATAAAAAGTCATTTCGCAAACTGTTTATGGTTCCATATGTATCGAACCAAGTGTGCTTTTCCTTCTAGCTCACCTATAACCGCTTTGAACTTTGAGCATAACACCAATCGTCGTCGGCGATGCCGACAACCGGAGCGTAATCCATGTCAAACGAAAAAGAAAGAAAGAATGAAAAAAAGAAACAAGACACATCTTTCCATTTCATAAAATGCGATATTTTGCAACGTGTTCCTTCGGCATTTTTTTCCGTTCTTGTTTCTCTCTACCGAAGGTATGGGTGCATATGAGCGAGACAGTAATGTCTACCCGTTACAGCATACAGCACGGAATACAGGTTCCTTCTTTTTTTCGTTGGGTGTGCTGAACGTGTACGCTTTATTAAATGTCATCAAATGTTCTGCAAGTTGCTGTGTGCGCTTTGTTTACCAGCGTGTGTTTGCTTTGTTTTCATTCTTCGTACATTCTTTTTTTCTGCTCGCTTTCGAATCAGTGTTTTTTTTGGGGGGTGCATCGTTTTTCGTTTCGGTGTTTGGCATTCGGTTGACTGTGGTTTATAGCATTTCGACTTTTTTTTCTTCCCCTCCCATCTCTCTCTCTCTCTCTCTCTCTCTCCCCAAAAAAGTAATCTGATTAGATGAATTCAATTTTGAAATTTAATTGTCTCATCCGTTATCCTCAACCAATTATGTGTGCGGTGATATTTAATAACAAGACTACATCAAATTCTTCCACACCAACATTATTCACGCCACAGAGAGAAAAAAAGAATAATAATATGCGAGAAAATTTAGTTTTGTTGGGTTTTTGTTTGGTTGATGTTGCTACTGTCGCAAATCTTATTTTCGTTCTCATCTGTTCGCAAGACTTGTTCGGCGGTTGATTTTTGTTTGAAATTTGCGTATGCAGGCAATTCATTTGTTTTTTTTTTCTTCTTCTTGTTCTTGTTCTTCTTCGCATTTTTTTTTGTTCGCCCTGACTTTGGCACTGTGATATCAGAACTTTACCTTCGTCTGCCACCAAAACAAACGCACCATATTCGAACATAAAATACAATAGACTCAATGAAACTTTATCATTTACACGTCTCTTGCCATCGCCAAAAAGTTACAAAACAAAACATTTAAAACAAAGTAGAGAAAGAAACGAACGAACGAGCGAGAAAAAAAAGAGAGAAGAAGTTATATTGTCGGCAGATAAAATAGCTGAACGAGTTGAAAAGTTGTAGCAAACAAAATTGAACGAAAGATGCAAGCGAAACCGTTCTATTCAACAGTATCTAATATCTAATAAGGAAAGAAAAGTGAAGCAACAATGAATAGAGAGAACAAGAGATAGACAGAGAGGAGTGCAGTTCGGCAGAGAGAACAATAGCAGCCAAAAGAAAAATGAAATCGCGAAACACATAATTCAACTGCTGGTGTGCAACGTCGCACCCCTTCATGTATGTCTGCATACAGTAAAATTAAATTTTGACGAATGGGCGGAAATTAGATGATAAAAAACACCAGCCCCCAAAAACCAACACCTTCCGCTCCAATCGACTGAAATTATGTCTACGGCGTGTTTGACGTTGTCGTCGACAAGTCTTGGGCACTTTAATTTTACCAAAGATATGCGAACACAATCGAATTCGACGTTGGATCATTCATTCTCATTCTCTCTCACTTTCATTTGCTAAGCAAATTTTTTTTCTTGCATTTGGCATCGAATACCTTCGTGAGGGGACGCAAGTAAACCAAACTTTTGCATTTTAATCGTGTGCGTTCAAGTTTATTTTTCATCTCAAGTTTTTCCGCCGCGCATTGTGTACTCGATACGATGCTGTCAACAAAATGTGAAACGGGATGAACTCTTTAATTCGGCACTTTGCTTCTTTCGTCTCACCCGCTCTATCTCCTATCTTGTTCGGTAAATTTTACTATACTCTTCATTTTGACACAATACTTTTTCTGCAGGATCTTGTGCCGCCGCTTGTTGATGTCGTACAATATGTACAACTTTTCCGTAGGTTGAAAGTAAGGCGAATAAGCGTTTTTTTTCGAGTGTTGATCGCATAAGAGATAACAATGCATGAAAAAAGGAAACGCTCGACCGCACAATTGGCTGATACGAGCGAACAAGCGAGCGATATCGAGACAGAGCAACAGAGATGCGGCACAAACGAAGCACAGAAAAACCAACAAACAAAGCAATATGGCCCGAAATTCGTATTTATTTAACGTCGGATTAGAAGAAAGAATAATTACATACTGTTATAGCAACTATAATTTAATCGTTCGCCGATAAGTTCCGACGTCTTTCTTCGGGATAATTATTTTTGTGCTGTTTTCTTAAGCTTGAGTGCGCTTTCGTCTATTTGCTTTCTACGCTCACTTGCCAAGGAATCGTTAGCTTGGTATCTTTTAGCCTCATATTGGGTGCTAAAGAAACAGAGGGAGATAGAGAGAGAGAGACTTAAGAGTATGTGACCTGTAATTCGTGTATGCAGGTGCTTAATTAATTGGTTTCTACATTTCCACTAATTTGTGCGTCATTGGTTTGATGTGGCGCTTAGCAGAGGCTCAGAAGCAGTAACCACACCACCACCGAACTGACGGGCCACGATTAAGAAAAAGTGCCCAAAAGTATATAAAAAGCGTGTACTTTTTGACACGGTAGCATCTGTATACGTACACGTACACCATCATTAAAAACGGATATCAAATCAACAGAACGATAGAGCTGAAACCATGCATTTTAACCAATTCCACCAAGCAAATTCATTGAAAGATAATTTAATTCCCGAAGTCAACCGTATTTGTGAATACTCGATAAAGCTTGTAACATACGTTCAACTTTTTGTATTTTGCTTTTTCTTTCCCCATACTTTCTTTCTTTTTTTCGGGAGTAAAAGCGCTCGAACGAAGTTTCTTTTTAAAATACTTACACGTGCCGTTGTAGATTACTTATTAGAAAATGTTTGTTCTGTTTATTGACGGTAATTTTGAAATGGGTGTTTTGTGTTCTTTCCCCTTTCGACTGCTGCTGCTGCTTTCTCACACAATTGTAATTTTACTCTTACACACTACACACACATAAACCACATAATCACTTTTCGGTTATTTAGACAGATAAATGCAGCCAAATTCCGATTTGATCGGCGTATAATGCTCAGCGGAACACACCAATTTGATTGCATAAAACTGAAGGAAGTAAGTTTTAGTTTTTTCTTCTTCAATATATTCCACCTCTTTTAATTTTCACCCTGGCCTTTATTTGTCCGAATCAATTAGCAAAATGAATTGACGTAAATGCACTAGTCATTATTCTTTTTCCCTTTTAAGTTGTCAATAGTTTTTTTTCCGTTGTTGTTTTCTTTGTGATCACTTGACCGGTTTTATCGAGTTCTCAATAAAATTGTTCAAACTATCATTTTCTTTGAAAATTCATTTAAAAAATTCAATCACTTCCTTTTATCATTTCCATACGATCATCAAAGAGATCTGGTTCAATTTGAACACGTAAATATCGTTATGAATTGGCGCCGCTGATAATGGTTTTTTTTTCTTGATATTTTATTAATTTTATTTCTTTGATTGCGATTCGTGTGACCGGATTCACTTATTTTCCTGTTGGAGGAAAAATAAATTCGCTGATGTGGAAACACAGATTTCACAAGTGGCTATGGTAATCGAATTTTATCTGACCGACTCAATTAAAAGTATAAAAAAAGAAAAAAAAATTGCCCACCAACCGAAAGAAATCTATGGGAAAGCACCGATTTTAATGCCGTACGCTTCAATCGTAGATGAGCGAATGGAGACTAGGACCGTCGTTGTAATTCTGTCGAACGGCAGAAATTTTGTTTGCTATTTTCCACCATTCATGCAGATTCTGTGTGAATGCCGTTCGCTGTGTAGCAATGTGAACCGTGTGGCAATGCGAGGCAGGCAGAGAGGGAGAGCGAGTTCTCATAGCACAGCTTAGCACAACACACAGCACAAACAGAACACAGTACAGTACGACATACAACATTCTTTGGAGCAAACGAACGTTTTTTACTCGGTTACCACGGCTAAGTACAAATAATACAAATGAATGAACACGAATACGGCAGCTACACGCAGAGGCGACTCAGTTTGCTACTCCCGCGAGCTCACTCTCTCTCTCTCTCTCTCTCTCTCTCTCTCTCTCTTGCTCTCTGCCTCTGATTCATTTCTGTATGCCGCTCGGTGTGCCTCTCCTTCCTTTGCTCCCATAAAACGCAACAACATTCGAAGAATGAAAATGAGTGAACACCGAAACGAAATGCCTCGGACTTAGAGTGACTTAGGTATGTGGATGCGCTATCGTATACGCACATCGCATAGACATTTTTCCTCGAAATGAGATTGATATTTTCCACATCGCTTCTGACTTTTGGGCGGCCATCGATACAATAGGATGGCTAGAATAATTGTTGTTTGCCAGCAAATTGATCGTTTGCCTTCGATATAACTGTATTTATAGCATATTGTTCGGTATTGACTTCTGTTAATTTGGCTTTTGCCGAAAGTTCCCGCTTTCTCTCTCTCTCTCTCTCTCTCTTTTGCGATCACATCAAAATCGCTCATTAGATGAAAATGACTCAAAGCTTTTTGGTCCAAACTGGCTTCTTTTGTATTTTGCAAAATGAACTGCATCCAAATTAAAATGCTTTTCTATTGTTAATAATTAAACGTCAAAACTGTGATGCATTTAAACCGATTATTCTGTAAAATAGTCTCATAATAGATTTTTCTTACTGTAATATCAATGAACATAATGAAGCTTTTAAAAACCCTAATAGCACACATAACACTCATGCTCTCTTTTTTAGGTGACACAACCTTTCGGGTACAAAATGTACCGTACGAATTTTACTATATTTTATGAGCAGTATTTTGCAATGCAATTTAGTGGCAGGAAATAGAACACGAGTTCCTTTATGTATGAGCATGGGAACAACTAATAATTCAATTTCAAGGATGTCATGGGAAGCGAAACTGAGTGCGGAAAAATGTGAGGGGCAAAAATGCGTTGCGCGATTAATTTTTATGGCGAATTGGTTTTTATTATATATCGCTTCGAAACATCGATATACTAAATCAAGTGGGTTTGTTCGATACGAAGATAGCGCAAAAAATAGGAATCATGTATGGAGAAGATGTGGGGATCAAAATGGATTTTATTGGATTTGCCTGACAGAGCCATGCGTATGAATAACTCATAAAATTCCAGGAAATTTGGCTTACTCTCATCGTGCAAGAGTGATAATGAATCAGAAGTGTGCGCTGTGTGGGCACCTGTGGAATATATTTTCAGAAAAAAAATGCGATCAATGGCGCAACCATGCATGCACATTGACTTTGAAAGCGTTTCCAATATGTTTGCTATTGCTGCTGTCATACGATTTTGCTGCTTATCGAATTCACATGTTTTCGTTGTTCAAATGGGTTTTTGCCTTGAAATTTCATTTTATTAATTATGCACAGCGTTGTCGTTTGATACGTATACTGAAATCAATTTGAATGCACAAGTGCAGGGAAAATGATGAAATTTTATCACTGAAGAAAATCATCGGCAATCGCATCAAAGCAACCGGCACACTGATACAGTAATATAATCAAATTTATGATAAAAGCTTTCTCATTCACACAGCGCAGCTCATCGAGACATTGATACAGATTTACTGTTGAGTTTCATCTCTGTGCACAAATATGCATTATGTAAAAGTTTTCATTAATTCCATCGAGACACTGCGAATACACGTCTGAATGAAGACTGCGGTTCCATCTATTTATTTGTGTCATTATATTGTCTCTCCCTCCTCCTTCTCTCTCTCTCTCTCTCTCTCTCTCTCTCTCTCTCTCTCTCTCTCGATCCGAATAGCACAGCAAATGAAAGTGCATGCTTTGACATTCCTGCATTTTGAGATGTCTGCCCGGCATCTGCTACTCGAGACGCTATGAACCGTTTATTGGCATCGCTTTGATCGTGTTTGCAAAATAATTGGGCTGGTTTTTGGTTAGCCGACACGAAAATTGATAAGCCTGGCCAATTTGTCGGGTGGTGATGTTGAAGAGTCGATATTCTAGCGTGTTGTGCCGCTATCGAAACCGGACCAACGATCTCGTTATTTCTCTGTGTTTCTTTTTCGGCTGGTCATTTTTCGTTGCTCTGCCTACATGAAATTCAAATTGGTACAATGCCACGAGAAATAAAATCTTTATGTGAAATGCCAGAAGTGTTTCCATGTTTCTTTTGTCTATTTTGAGGCTAGCGTAATACAATCTATAATTACAAGAGCTCTTATTTATTTAATTAAAAAAATTTAGGATTCGTTGATTGCATAAAAAAATAAGGACGCTGCAATTATCTTGAGCAGAAAATGCGTGTGACAGGGCACAGTGACCAAATCCCACAAAACAAACAAACCGTTTTTTATTCTCTTTTCGCTTTCTCTCGCGCTTTCTTATGCGCTATCTCCCGCTTACGTTCACCACTAGATCTGTTGATTTATATTTGTCTTGTATATCTGGGTGCGAAAAGTTACGCAATGCACATAAAGAAAAGTACGCAAAATAAAAATATATTGTTTTTTTCCTAGAGCCCTGGGCAATTCCAATGATACTGGCTATTTGATCGAGTGAATTCACTTTATTATCGCCAAGCGACCCACTCTTAATCACTCTTCCTTATGTGTGTAGTTTCGAATGGTTCTTAAAAAAACATCAACAACAAGTGATTGTTCGTAGAAAGTCTGTCTCATTCGACCACTTAATGTTGTTGAATCCAACTTCATTTTATTTATATATCAACGTGCCGTATTACAGCTCAATTTTATGTTTCGAGTAACTTCTCATACAGATTTGGCAATGAACTTGGTTTAAAAAAATATATTTACGTAACGAATACCAAGTGTGAACAATGTTTTTGAAAACAATGTGAAGGATGAAGGGAGAGAAGCGTGTTGCTCGAATCGCAATTAAGTTTCTAACAGGTCTTGTGCGTTCGAATGCCGATGATTTGAATGTGAAATGATAGATGCATGTGCTGGCCCAACAGAATGGGGAAAAATATGTTGTTGACAAAAGAATGGAAACCAATTTGAACGACGGCAGTGTTTTTCTGCGCCATTCTATTGGCCCTCTAAATTAGCGTACTGTTGGCGTATCGTCGATATAAACAATACACTCCAGGCCACTCGTACAATTTATACACTACAGGCGCGTGGCTGAGTGCTGGCTGAAAAATATTAAGCGCCGTCTCTCTATTTCGTGCGCCTCGTTCGTTTGCGTGAAATGGAAAACAGACAACCAAACGAACCTAGGGGGTAGACACGAAATAACACTAGAAGAAAACTGCAAAAATTGAGCATACTAGAAGTTACTAGAAGAATATTTGTGAAAAAATCGAGTGATGCCTCTTCCATAAGAATAGCATTGCCAGTGGTTTTTACTAGGGGGAAAAATCATTTTTTTCATCTTTTATATCCGCACGCATCAAGTAATAACTTAGAAATTCAATGGTATGCATGTAAATCCGAAATATCCATGTATATTCAACAATATTCATCGTGAACGACAAATGAATATTACTGAATATACATAGATATGTCAAATTTACGTGTATACGAATGAAAAATAAAAATAATAGTGAATCAATCCTTCAACCGTAAATTTGATTGATTTTGGTAGATAACGGTGAATAATGGAACATTTTTTGACATTACAGTCTAATGAATATTATTAAATATACATAGATATTTGAGATTGACGTGCATACCAGTAAATTTGTGCAGATTGTATCGTCAAAAAATGTTCCAATATTCATCCAATAAAATTTTAGTTGAAGTCAGTCAATTTTATATATAATTTCATAAGTTTTCAACCAAAAAGTAACTAATTGTGATAAAACACACTCGGATAATCGGAATGAATACTGTGATACCAAGCGATTTATCGCTATCGAATGTTTGACTGAATTGAAGAGAAATTGTATGTGATTTGAAACCAAAACTGATTCACTGAGTTCAGTTGTTTATATATATTGTTTTTTCTTTGTAGTTTCGTCTGATGATGGAGTCGAAAAGACCCCAAACGTTGCGATAAATAAATTAATGAATTATGTAGCATCAGCTCAAAGACATCGTCTTATTTTATTCCATTGATACTAGAAATACTAGCAGAATATTTGCGTTTCTGCTTGTATACTAGAAAAACTTTAGAAGAAACTAAACGCATATTTGAACCGATTTGAACAAACTAGCTATACTAGAAATTGGTAACTATCCCCTAGAAACGAACCGAATGCTCATCTAACAGCTACCTGTTAAATATGACGGTAAATTGTATTGCTTGAACCATAATCGTCCGCCCGGTTGCGGCAACATTCGCATTCGCTTTGCTAGTACACTTACTCTTACTGTTGATACAAAGTGGTAAATTATAATAATGAGAATATTACAGAAAATTACCGTCTGAAATTTCTTTATTAAAGACAAAACTTGAGCAATTCACGTGTTTTACGACCTTTTTCCGTGCAACGCTAACGACTCAAATCTGCCTCTTCGGTTTTTTTTGGCATTGAACTCCCCTACACACATACACACATTCCACTTCAACAATTTTACAAAAGCTTAACAATGTCGCGCTTGTGGCATCCGCTGCAGGTGAATACGTCTGTTCCAATACGTTTATTGCATATAAATAACCGCGGAAATTGTCATTTCTTTATTTTTTTTGTTAAGAAATTAAGTCGAAGAACCAAAATTCCAACTAAA